AACAGACAAGTTGCTGTCTTTTTGTTCTTCAGTCTAGTTGTGGAGGACGTTGCTTCACTGGCCCAAGCTGGCACCATCATTGCACTCTTCCCCGGTTAGGCAGATCAGCTGCCGGCCTCTGGACGGCTGCTCACGTTGGCTGCTGGCTACACACGGTAGCCCATGGCAACCCACTGCAGCAGGGGTCGAGCTGCCGTTCACCATCTTAGCTGCAGAGGGCAGTGTCACTGGCCCTCATATGTGGGATCCAAACCGGGGCCCTCTGGCATCCCAAGCCAGTTCTTAACCAATGCGCCACTGGGCCGGCCCTGTTAGCATGTGTTTTATGTTGTTTATTTTGTTTCAGCAACTTCGTGTTTGGGTTTATGTCATGCAGTTATGAAAATTGTTACTCAAAAAGTACCTGTTGTAGCAGGTTGAATTTAAATGGCTAAAAGAGTTTTTAATAGATTCTATGTTTTAAGATAGTGTAGGTGAGTATTCTTTTTCGTTAAACAGAGAAACTAGCAGCAAGTCAACTTTCCCAAACCTAGTTTTTAGGAATACTATCTTGTCATAATAGTATTCTGCAATTTTTTAAAAGGAATTCTGTGCTCAGATATACTCAAGAAGTACTGGTTAGATGTGTTTAACAGATTTTTGTTGGTGGTGGTTTCACTGTACTTCTCATATCTTTTATTCTGCTAATGCACCTCATGAATATACAAGAGGGGGTTATAGTACACAGCATCTTCAAACCCAAAGTGGCCACAGTACTCTCCCCTTCTCCCCACAAAAGAACTCACCACCAACAATGATAGTATTACTGTTATTGCTATTATTTATAATACTATTATTAGTAATAGTAATACATATACGCCTGGCATTATTCTAAGCACTTTACCTATATTAATTTAGTCCTCACAATGCTATGAGTTAGGTGTATTATTAGTTCCCATTATACAGAAGACAAACTGAGACACAAAGAACCTGCCCACATCAGCTAGGAAGCTGTAGAGCTGGGATTTAAACCAAGTCTGTTCGGCTCCTGAGTTATATTATACTACCTCACTTACTAACATCTTGCCGACAATGGAGTTCTACAAAGCATAGTTTAGAAATATTGACTTAAGAGAGACTTGGCCTCTGGTCACAGAAATAACAATTATATTTCATTATACTCTAAACTCTCCACTCTTGATTCTCAACAGATACTACAAAAGCTCAGAAGTTGGCCATTAGACCAGAATCATTCTGTCTCTCTTAAAGGGTTTATGAAATATTATAGAACTTTGTGCCAAAGTGAAATAGTAAATATGAAGGATTCTTAACCTAGGGTTCATGGACTATTAAGAAATGCTTGAATGACCTTCGGGATATAGGAACCCATTGAAATAGCTTGTGACATTTTATGGGCATATGTATTTTTCTATAAGGAAAGGGTTCATAATTTTTATTGTACAGTTGACCCTTGAACGATGCAGGATTTAGGGGTGCCAATTCCCCCTCACGCCATGCAGTCGAAAACCCATATAAAAGTTTTGACTCCCCAAAACTTAACTACTAATAGCCTACTGTTGACCAATAGCCTAACTGATAACATAAACAGTCGATTAGCACATATTTTTATGTGTTATATACTGTATTCTTAAAGTAAGCAGAGAAAATACCGTTAAGAAAAGCATAAGGAAAATACATTTACATTTACAGTATTGATTGAAAAATGCATATAAGAGGACCCACACAGTTCAAACCTGTGTTGTTCAAAGGTTAATGGTATTATCAAATGAGCATATCTTCCAAAATTATTAAATATCATTCATCTAGGTGCTAAAAGGTTAAAATTATATTTATTGATAATTCTTTGCAGTCTAGGTAATTAACATGCTTTTAAAAGTATTTTCTTCTGAAAATGTTACTTTAGTAACTTAAGTGCACAATAGCCAGTAAGCCCTGTCATTAGTAAAACTTGTTACTCTTGAGAAAAATAGGTATCTTAGGAAGCATTTTGGTGTTCTAGTAGAAACATCATATTAATTTATATTAAAATCCCAGCTTTAAACACAAATTTTATTCGGGGGGGGGCGTTTATTTTCAGATAACTTTTCAAGTGGAAAAATTTTGTCTTATGTCTATCTTGTCTTTTAGGACCCAACCCTGGAAGAAAAGATGGACTATTTTCAGAGTCAGCTTTTAATTCACCACAGGGTGTAGCCATAATGAATAATATCATATATGTGGCAGATACTGAAAACCACCTTATAAGAAAGGTAATTTTTCATTTTAAATAGTTTTAATACTAATCAGAAAAATTGATACTTGCTATATATTTAAAGTAAGAGGGTAATGCTTAAATACTTCGAATCATCCTTATTTGGCTGTCTTCAGAGGCACTTGGTTTGGTTTTATTCTTAGGTATCTTGTTTTTCTGTGTGTCATCCAAGGAAGACAAACCCATCAATCAAGTCCTTTTTTTTCTGACCTGTGTTTCAAAGTCATGTGACTAAATCACCCAAAGCTCCTCATTTTGAGGTATTTTCATAACTGCTATTTACAAAAGTGACTTGTTTATTCAGATTCTTTGTCAGTTTTTAAATTGGGTTATTTGTGCTTTTTATTATTCAGTTGTACGAGTTCTTTACGTATTCTACATACAAATCCTTTATCAGATATACGATTGTCAGATACTTTCTCACATTCTATGGGTTGTCTTTTCAGTATCTTAATCATGTCTCCGATGCACAGAAGTTTTAAATTTTGATGATTCCTAATTTATTGTTTTTTCTTTCATTGCTTATGCTTTTGGTGTCATATAAGAATCCATTGCCAAATACAAGGTCACAAAAATTTACTCCTATTTTTTTTCTAAGATTTTTACAGTTATGGCTATTACAGTTAGGTCTTTGATTCTTTTTCAGTTGATTTTTGTGTACGGGATGAGGTAGGGATCCAACTTCACTCTTTTGCATACGACTATCGACTATCCAGTTTTCCCAGAGCCATTTATTGAAGAGACTAGTCTTTCTCCATGGAATAATCTTGGCAGCCTTGTAGAAAATCTTACTCATGACTGTATGGTTTTATTTTTGGACTTTAAAGTCTGTTCCATTGATCTGTACCACACTGTTCTGATTACTGTAACTTTTAATAAATTTTGAAATCAGTAAGTATGAATCTTCTCACTTTCTTCTTCTTTAACTTTATTGTGGCTGTTCTGGGTCCATGACGATTTCCTATGAATTTTAGGATCAGCTTCTTCATTCCTGCAAAAACTTCGGTTTGTTTCTTGTACAATTACCTTGGCTGCAAAAAAACAAATGATAGTTTTATATTTTCCCTTATTTATACATTTCTTGTTTTATTTTATTGCTAGACAGAACCTTAGTTTCTTTTAAGCATTAACAGTGATAGTGGGTATCATGTCATGCTCATAGTCTTAAAGGGAATGCATGTAAATTTCCTTCCAAAAGTTTAATATTTCCCGTAGCTTTGGGGAGAAAATAGTTATGAAAGTTAAGAAACTTTATATTTCTAGGTACTAATAATCATTTTATCATATACTTTTATGAAGTACATTTTCTACATTTATTGAAATAATTGTGTAAATTTTTTGCCCTCAGTAAGTTGATGTGATGAATTAATAGTTGTTTTTTTTGTTGTTTTTTTTAATGTCAAACCATCTTTTTATTCTTGGGATAAACCTTAACTAATGATGAACTTTTTAAAAGTCAAGTTGGATTTGATTATCCAAAATTATATTTAATATTTAAAAATTCATGTTCATAAATTAAATGGCTCTATATTTTCTTGTACTGTTCTCTCTGATTTTGGAATCAAGGTCACACTAACTTCATCAAATGAGCTAGTTTGTTTTCATTTCTCACTTTTGGAATAATTTATCTAACATAGAAATTAATGGTTTTTGAACATTTATTAAAATGCCCCTGTAACATTACCTGGACCTGGGCTTTTTACAAGAGGAATTCTTTGATTATCATATCAGTTTCCGTGATACATTTATTAAATCAAGATTATTTCAAGGGCCTGTTTCTACCTGCCTATTGCATTTTTGTAGATTGAGTTCAGTAAAAATATAATAAGGTTACATTGATAATATTCTTTACAATTTCAAGAGATTATAGAGCAGCCTAAAAATAATGCAAGAGGATGTCATTAAAATAAATCAATGTAATTCACCGTAGTAATATTGGGTTGTCAGAAAAGTCGTGACGCGTTTTTGCAATGAAAAACAGAAAAAATACGTCATGACTTTTCTGACAACCCAATAGAATAAAACATAATAACCATATGATTGTTTCACTATATTCAGAAAAACATTTGAAAACATTTAATACCTATTCATGATAAAATTAGTATAAACTCGAAAAAGAAATGAACATTGTGAATATGATAAAAGGCGTCTACAAAATGCGTATAGCTACACTAAATGCAAAATGTTGAATGCCTTTTCTCCAGGACTAGGAACAAGGAAAGGATCCCCATTCTCACCATGCCTGTACTGGAAGTACTAGCCATTGTAATAAGGCAACAAAGAGAAATGAAAGGCATACAGGCTGAAAAGGAAGTAGTATCTTTATTTGCCAATGATATGTCATGTGCATAGAAAACTCTAAGAAGTCTATGAAAAAGCTACTTGAACTAATAATAGAATTTAGGAAGGTTGCAGAATACAAAGCCAGTATAAAAAGACCAACTACATTTTTATATACTAGTCACAGTCAATTGGAAACTGAAATTTTAAAATTCTATTTATAGTAGCAACCAAAAACATAAAATACTTAGAAATAATTTAACAAAATATATACAAGACCTGTATGCTTTAAACTATAAAACATTGCTGAGAAAAACTAATCCAGTATTGAATTGGAATGCTCAGCTGTCAATTCTCTAGATCAATAGATCAGTGCAATCCCAGTCAAAACATTATCAGGGCTTTTTGTAGATATTGACAAGTGGGTTCTAGAATTTACATGGAAATGCAAAACAAGGGATTTATTATATCTAAAATAATCTTGAAAAAGAACAAAGTTAAAAGACTTACAGCACCTGATTTGAAGATTTACTATAATGTTACAGTAATCAAGACAACATGATACTTTCATAAGGCTAGCATATAGATCAATAAGAAAAAATGGAGTGCCTTGGAGTAACCTCATACCTATACAGTTATTTGATTTTCCAAAATGCATCAAAGCAGTCAAGGGGGAAAGGAAAGTCATTTCAGCAAATTGTGCTTGAACAACTATTAGATACTCCTATAGGGAAAAAAAAAGGAACATGACCCCTACCTCACACATGGCATACATCAATACAAGATGCATCACAAACCTAAACGCAAACACTAAAACCAAAAAGCCTGTATAGATGAAAACACCTTTGTGACTTTGCAAGTGGGCAAAGGTTTCTAAAGACAGGACACAGAAACATAATAGGAAAAATGATAAATTCCAATTTATCAAAATTTAAAACTTCTCATTAAAATTTACTACTAAAGAAATGAAATGCCACAAGCTGTCAGAAAATAGTCACAAAAATTCATAAAACGTCTCTGAAGGGATTAGTGTCTATGAAATAGAAAGTTTTCTAAAACTAAAAAATGAGAAGACAACCAAAAAAAAAATGGGTCAAAGACTTGAACAGACATTTTTCAAAGAAGACGTAAGAATGACCACAAGTACATAAAAATGTGATAGACATCCTGAGTTTAAAAGGAAGTGTAAGTTACATGAAATACCACTATACATCTACTATTAATATAATGCTTAAAATTTATGTGGTGACTGACAACATCATAGGTTGCCAAGGATGTGGAGCAATCGGAACAATGGTTGGTGGGAATGTAAAATGGCAGACAGCCGGAGAAAACCTACTGGCGCTTTTTTTTTTTTTTATCAAACTAATCATATACCTACGCTTTAACACAGCAATTAGAGTCTTACGTACTATATGTACCCAAGAGGAGTGAAAACATATATTTACAAAAAGCTTGTACAAGAATATTGATAGCAACTCTTACTTAAAGGCCTCAAACTGGAAACAGCCCGCCCAGGTGTCCCTCAGTAGGAAAATATATATATATGAACCGTGGTATATTCCTGTGCTACAATACTGCACAGCAGTCAAAAGGAACAAGCTGCTGATACATGAATAAATCTCAAAGTTAAATGAAAGACGCCTCACACAAAAGAGGCCATACTTAGGGCCGGCCGAGTGGCTCAGTTGGTTAAGAACTCACTCAAGAGTGCGAGCTCTGAGCAACAGGGTCGCTGGTTTGAATCCCAGCCCGAGCTGAGCTGCCACTGAGCTGCCAACAGGTGGCAGGATGGCTCAGCTAAAAAAAAAAAAAAAAGAGTCCATACTGTATGATTCCATTTATCTGAAGCCCTAGAAGAGATACAACTAATCTATGATTGGAAAAAATTAATACTGCTTGCTTCTGGGGGCAGGAATGACTGGAAAGAGGCATGAGGGAACTTTCTGGAGTGGAGATAACATTCTATGTCTTTATGTAAGCTATAAAGATATGCAGAGGTTGATGCATTTATGAGAATTCATCAAATGATACACTTAAGATTTGTACATTTCATTGTAAGTTAATAAAGGAAAAAGGAACTCTAAGAAAATGTAGAACACTGGGCGATAAGCATGCTGAGATATTTAAGAACAGTGTACTAAGGTTTATGATTTACTTTGAAATGCATCAAAAATATAAATGGATTGAGGGATTGATAGCTGGAGAAAATATGTGATCAAGTAAGTGAAATGTTGGTGGTAGGTGGTGGGTATAATGATATTTGCTGCAAAATTCTTTGAACTTTTCTGTATGTTTGAAAATTTTATTGGTAAAGTGTTGGGGGAACGGTCTCAGGAGATGAAGCCAGAGCATCTTTTTTCCGTGAATGCATTAGTTTTTCAGTTTATGCAGTAGAGGCAGTATTGTGTAGTAGAGCTAGAACTGCCTGGTTCAAATCCTGTGTGCTGGACTTATTAGCTGTGGGCACTTGGGAATGTTACATAATTATCTGTGCCTCTAAAATAATGAAAAACACAATCATAGGGTTATTATAAGGATGGATGGATGGATGACCCCCTGGATCAGTGCCTAGCACACATTAAGCTCTATGTGGGTCAATTACTAGCCAAGCATAATTGAAATAAATACATTTAATTTTAAACATGCATTTTTCTAGATTTTGCTTTAAATTTTCAAATTTCACTTTCTTTTTAAATATCTGGCAGAGGCATGATGAGGGAGGGGGTAAGAGGAAATTGGGGAAATGGACAGATGAGGAAATGAAAAGGACTGAGTTTTATGTTTTTGAATAACAAGGTCACCCTATACTTGGTTCATTTTTTTTAAGCTTTATTTTTTTTTTTCAAAGAGTATTTGTGTTGCAAATACTTTCTATGTGTTGTATGTAAAATCTTCATGTGCCAAAAGAAAAAAAAAGAACGTGCGTTGCCTAAAACATGTATTAATGTCTGTAGATTGACCTAGAAGCTGAGCTGGTGAGCACCGTAGCTGGCATTGGAATTCAAGGAACAGATAAAGAAGGTGGAGCTAAAGGAGAACAGCAGCCCATCAGTTCCCCTTGGGATGTAGTTTTTGGAACATCAGGTTTGTAAACTTTTAATACTAAGTATGAGTAAACTTTGCTTAATAAATGTAAGCTTTAAGAGATATTCTGGGGACATTCATTTGGATTAATTATTGCTAGTTATGTTATACTTTTATACCTATGGCTAGGATTTGTTAAGTGTGTACAAGCAAAACCAGCAGCAATATGTACAAGATAGAGTATATATTATTATATAAATACAACATTACACATATTTTATACATATAATAGGGTCTGTATAACTGTAAATTAATGTTAAGGAATTTCATCTGAACTGCAGCTTTCAATTAATATAGTTCTGAGTATTCTTACATTGGAAGGATTATAGTTTCAGAACTTATCAAAAGATTATTGATGAAGTATACCATTTAACAATGTCCATTTCATTCTCATTTGAAAAAGACATTAAAAATGACAGCTGCTTTTTGTAAATGATTAAAATTTGTATGGAAACATCGCTTCTTTTGAGCAATTAAAAAAATCTTTACTGAATTATGTAGATATTGATAATAAGATTTACATTATCTTTACCATCTTTATTACCTGTATTAATTAATTATAAGATAATCCAGGAGCATGAATATTCTTATTTTTTATTGGCCCTCAGTGATGCCAAGATGGTTATCTACATATCTAAAACCAGAGTTATGAATGAAGTTAGTAGAATATGTTGAAAATGGATTTTGAGACTAAATGGTTTGTATGGTCTTAATATACAGAAGGTGCCAAAAAAGTGCCCAAAAAATGTATACAAAATTTAAGAAAGGAAAACTGTATTAAAATTGTAATACTCAATATATACTGATAACAAAAGATAAATACAAGTCATGTTTGACTCCTACAGTTACAAGAGGTGCTCAAAGTGGTTGCCATCAGCGACCAGACACTTCTGATTACGGCGAACTACTGCTTGAGCAACATTGACCAAAGTGTCCACTTGTATCCATTTTTTTTTTTTGGCACCCCCAGTATTTATAGTGAATAAGCACTAGTTTAGTTGAATGGCTTTACCTCAGATAATTTTCTATGATGATGCTAATTTACTTACAATTCAAAGGCCTTAATTTTTTTTCATTGTGATTAACTTTTTATAAAATTTTTAATATTCATAAAATAACTGAATGAACTTCTGGTACTATCTGTACTTAATATATATAACTTAGGTATTTTGGGTCAGTTATTTTTGAGATTTTCATTTTTGGAATTCTGTATCTTAATTATCATGACTGGTTTTAGTAGCTCATCCTGGGGAAGGAGTTGGGAAGGTGGGGGGAGCAATAGTATGTCCCAGGTGCAATCAGTAGGGGAGTATATGTAGAGGACTTAAAAACAGTAGTAAAACCAACTCCAACTAAGTCTTCTTTTTATCACCATGCACCAGCAGTTCTAAATAATTACAGGGTTAAAAATACTCATCCCACTAGGGCTTACCACTCCTGCCTCCCTGCCTTTGGTATACCACTGAGCCATTTCAACATAAATCTTATAGATGGAAAAGTAGTCCAAAACATCTATCAGTAAAATAGTGTAAGTGGAAGAGAATTGTTACTTTGGTATGCTGTGCCCCTCCCTCTAGGGGAAAAAAAAGAATGTCTGCCCTTAGTATGTGAGTCTCTAGTGAGTTATAGCGAACAGCCCATATAGAATTCAGTTATTGATTTTCACACTTTGCAACTTACATCCTGTAATTGCAACAATAATACCTCATAAGAAGTCATCCCAAAACTCATATAAACCTAAACCTTTATTTCTCACTCATATATGGGGTTGAGGTTCTGCTGATCAAGGCTGAGCCTGGACTCACCTGGTTCCAAGGTGTTTATTGGCTGCAGACCTGCTTCATTTGTTTCTCACCCTCCTTGAACCAGCACCATCTGAGACATATGTTTTGGAAAAAGGCAGGAGCACAGAGAGTAAACCCAGCTACACATATTTTCAGCCTTTGCTCAGGTCATGTCTGCTTACCTTCTATCATTGAAGCAAGTCACATGACTAAGCTCAAAGGTGTGGGACGGGTAGGCACTGCCTTACAGCGAGGTCGTGGCAGGGGTGTGAGTGTGTGCTATTACTACAGAGGAATGAAGAGCTGAGACCAGTAGCTCAATCTGTCACATACATCAGAACTTACATTGCTTATAAACAGAGTGTACTTTACAGGTTGCTTTACTAAGTTGGGTTTATTTAATGGCCAAGGAGTGCTTAAATATTTTTCTAGGCTGCAAGTTTTTCAATCATACTTTATGGCATGGAATTTCTACTTGTCTGTCTCTTATTGATAATGCATCCAGATTGCTTTCCAAGAAATTCTTGGCTCTATTGACAAGTACCCCTTCAGCTTCCAACTGAAGTGATATGCTGTCTGAGGCTTGTGTCATTGTTAAGCTCAGTTTTGAGTAAAGGAAGTGAGTCCTACCTTACTTAGCTCAACAGATCATTATAAGCATGTGACTTTGCATTTAAACAGCTTAAAATAGCTTCACTTCAGGTACTTGGCAAGAGGAGTAATCTTGAATGCACTTAAGTGCAACACCTTTCAAGATGCTGGCTAAGAGAAGGTGGCTTTCAAGCACTGGATGAAGGACCTGTAATAACAATGACTGCTCTAGCCCAAGAGGTTTTAACCTTGGGGTGTACACCCAAGGCATTCATGGTTAGTCTTTACGAGGTACTTAAACTTCCCAGAAATGCCATTTAAAATTTGGGGAGATTGGTCAGATTCTCATCAGAGTTGCAAAGTGGTATGTTACCCCAGTACATTTTTAAGAGCCACTGGCTTTAAATTACTCTAAAATCTAATCCTGGATTAATGGACATTGTCTGAGTGTGGGGAAATTGGATCATAGAATATTTGCTGTCCTGACAATTGTTTTTACCAAACTATATTTTGGCAACATGTCATTCATTAAAAATATCAACACATGAGCTTCACATTCACTTATATTTATGTCTGTGTACATGTTTCATATTCTGTATTTCATCAAAACACAGCCCTGTGAGACTTGTTCCTGTTTTTACTATAGGATTTGCTGGTAGTTTCAATTGTTACCTTTTAAATAACCTCTCGGTATTATAGGTAGTTATACTTTCTCCTAAGTATCAAGCTTGTTTTTAAGTTCCTGGAAAATGTGAATATCATAACTGATTGTGTTTGCATTGTTGTATTGATTGTTAGGAAACAGAGAGACAAATTTACCTTTAGCAAAGGAGAATGGAAGCGTGGCATTCAGTTTTTAATACTAGTATGGATGCATCTCTTTTCTTCCCTATTTACCTATTGCTTCAATTTTCTTACTTATTTTAAATGTATTTATTTTATTAGGCTTTATTTCTTTGTAAACTACCTGAATCCTTTATGTAATAAAAGTAGAAGTAAATAAATGTAATAGAATCCTTTACTGAAGTAATTGGCTATGATAATCTATTAAAAATAAAATCTATTAAGTCTGCCAATCATAAAACTAAAAAGCTTTATTTTAAGAACTATAAATGTACAATTTTTAGCCAGTATTTTGATCTAGGACCACACCTAATTCAGCAATTTGACTTAGCTGCTTGCCTGCATTGAATCTTTCCAAAATATTCAACTTGGTTTTCATGGAAACAACTTCCTTTTTGCATTCATATTGAATTGGTTCAGATATATTCAAATTACATAATTGTACAACTGGTTTAAACAGATGTGGGTTTAAACAAAACTTGAAGGGGGTTGTGGCTGAGAAAATTTGTTCATGTAAACAGTTAAGTTTTTAATACTTTAGGAATTTTATAGAATGTCTATGAAATTCTACCCTATTTAAGAATTTGAGAGTGGATGGACTTACCAGGAGGAAAACGTGAACAATAGATTAGGTATTTTGATATCTTCATATATTAGGCTGTTCTAGAGTGCATATAATGAAGCATAGGTACATCTAGCAGCACAGACAAGAATCAGAAGGAGTCTGTTATGTGAGAAAAAAAACAAGATACATAAGACCTACAATATGATTTCCCGTATAGAAAGTTCAGTAGCAAGTGACTATATATTGAGAGATCCATCCAGACATAGTAACATGAAAAAATAAGAGAAGTAAAAAATTTTTACACTGGTGGTTCCTTCTGGAAAGAGGAGGAATGGTCATAGAGGGATGCAGGAGGTATTCAGATGTTTTCTTTCTTTAGGGAGGTGGTGTGTATGTGGATGTTTAGTTATTTAAACTTTATAATGTGTCCATTCATATGCATATTTAATTAAAAATTCAACCTTAAAAAAAGCAAAATAGATTAGGTAAAGAGAATTAAAAATAAGGACAAATACACAGTTAAATATATACCCTACCAAGAAACCCAGTTAGTAACTTATTTCAAGAAAGGATTAAGGAAAGGTAAGAAACCTGAAATACCTCTGATTCTTTTAAACATACATGTAACATGTAAATATGTGTGTATATGTATTTTAAATAGTGTCTCAATATTTAACCAGATTATGCCATTACAGTGATAAAAGCATAAAAATAATTAATAGAAAGTGATTTTTACAAAAGTGATTGTTTCATCTTGGTTCATTTTTTATTATTACTCTATGGTCAGAACTACATAATGCACTAAAAATAATTACTCTAATCATTTTTTCAGCAGAAACTGTCATGTTTCTAAAATTCATGACTTAACTCATGCCATACAATAACCTGAGCGATTTTTTTATCATAAAGTTCAAAACTCCTGCTAGTCTCTAAGTAGACTTTACCTGATTTAGAATCATTTATAGAAAGGATAATGTACCCAAATCCCACTAACCTTCCTTGGCCCTTTAATCAGTATTTTCTCTAGATGGAAGTTTAGCTGTTCTTAATACAACCTTTAATGACTGAAATCCAACTATTTAGTATGCTAGTCTTATAATCTACAGTGTTGGTATTTAGGTGCTTAGATAATATGCTTCTCAGAGTTCCATTAATATGCTATAAAATGCCATAAAAAATTTATCCTCCGCCACTGAATTTCCAAAGTGTACCATTTTTTTACTGTGCTTCAAATAAATAGATAAAATAGTTATAATACTTAAAAAAATTTATCCTCTAAAAATAATCATATGATATGGAATTTTTTGAGGAATAAATTTTATACAACATGACTAGTGTGTTTTTATTTTGTCAAAACCAGTTGTATTTTTATGTCTATAATTTGAGAGATGATTATACTATCTTACCACATTGACTTGGTGTTTATAAGATTTTTTTTTAAGTCAGGTTAATGAGGTATTACTTATTGAAAGTAACATTCTTATTAGGCATAAGTTTATGAATTTTGACAAACATCCAGTCTTATAACGATTACTATAATCAAGATATAAAATATTTTCATCACTCCAAAAAGTTCCCTCATGATCTTTTGTTGAGTCTCCCTCCCATCACTCCAGCCACTGGCAACAATGTACATATTTCTTATTCCTTGGTATAGTCTTTTATGTCTGACCTATTTTGTTTAGCATAATGCTTTTGAGATTCATTCCTGTTGCATATATCAGTAGTTTGTTCTTTTTTATTGTTGAGTAGTATTTCATTATATGACTGCATCACAATTTATTAATTCATCAATTGATAGACATTTCGGGCGCCTAGTTTATGGTAATTATGATTAAAGTGTCTAAACATAGGTGGATATATGTATTTCTCTTGGATAAATGCTTAGGAATGAAATTGCTGGGTCATATAATAAGTGTATGTGTAATTTTATAAGAAACTGCCAAACTGCTTTCCAAAGTGACTGTTTTCTTAAGAGTCCCAAGTGTCTTTCTGGAATAATATTGCTTCTGCCTAAAGAACTTCCTTTAACATTTCTTATAGCACATGTCTCCTGACAATGATTTCTCTTGGTCTGTTTTTGGGGGGAGGAGCAAGTAGGCATGGATGAAGAGAGTTTGGAAACGTATTTAGCCTTTGTTTTTGAAAGATATTTTTGTTTCATGTATATCTGGATTAACTTTTTTTCTTTGATACTTTAAAAAAGTCATTCCATTTTCTTATACCTCACACAGGTTTAAATAAGAGGTCTGATTTATTTCTTAGTGCTTTGTGTATAAAGTGTGTTTTTTGTCTGGCTGCCTTCAAGATTTTCTCTTTGACTTGCAGCAGTTTGACAAGTCTAGGAGTTATCCTGCTTAGGATTCTTAAGCCTATGTATGGTTTGATGTCCTTTGTGATCTGTGAAAAATTCTCACCCCTAACCTCTTCAGATATTTTTTCTGCTTCTTTCTCCTCTTTCTGGGATTTCACTTACTCATATGTTAGACTGTGAAATTATATCCAATAATTCTTATCTATTGTATTCTTTTTGTTTCACATTTTTTCCCTTATTTTCCAGTGTGGATAATTTCTATTGATTTATCTTTAGGGTTATTGTTTCCTCAGCTGCGTCTAGTTGACTGAGCATATTGAAGGAATATTTCATCTGACATCTTTTATAGCATTTCCATTTCACTGTTTCTTACAGATTCTATCTGCTGAAATTCCTCACCTGTTTAGGTATGTTAGTCACCTTTTTCTGTAGATTCTTTAACATAGTAAGCATAATAATTTAAAAGTCCATGTCATATAGTTCCAAATTTCAGGTCATCGCTCACTCTGTTTTTGTTAATTGCTTTGTCTCTTGAAAATGGTTTTTTGTTTGTTTTTGATGGGGTTTTTTGTTTGGTTGTTTTGGGGTTTTTTTTTTTGTTGTTTTTGCTTATTTTATCTGTGTCATCTCATTTTTTATTAAATTCCAGTCATCTTATATGGAGCTATATAAACTGAGATCAGTAGTATTCATGCAATTGTTATGGGAGGTTGAGTCAGAGTAGTCGGAAGCTGGGCTGGGTCTGAGTTTTATTGTTGCTGTCGGTTCACCATAGCGTTTGAATTCTTCTAGCAGTGGACTGGAGTTGCCTCAGCGTGGGGGCCCAGATGCTGGAGGGGTTTTCTGTGTTCGTACTCCACCCTCCGCTTTCTTTCGGTCACCTGCACAGCTGAGTCAGAGTTGTTATCTGTTCACACTTTCAGCTCCCTGGGGGATAAACTGCTGTGTGTCATTCTGTACTAGGTTGTGTTGGGGCTGAGGGAGTGTTCTCTGTTCTAATCGGCTTCAATCTTAGGAGGACCTGTGTGCCTAGACATCTATGAAAGGAGGTGGGAGCTTTTTCATTGTTCTGTTCCTTCTTCCTCTGGCAGCCGAACTCTGCTTTATATCTGTGAGTGGTTTTGAAGAGTTTCCTGCTTCTCCCCAGCAGTGGGGAAGTCTGCTTGCTGTCAGTATGAGGTCTTCGCCTAGATCAGCGGTTCTCAGCCTTCCTAATGCCGCGACCCCTTCATACAGTTCCTCATGTCGTGGTGACCCCCCAACCATAAAATTATTTTCGTTGCTACTCTATAACTGTAATGAATCATAATGTAAATATCTTTTTGTTTTCCGATGATCTTAGGCGACCCCTGTGAAAGGGTCGTTCGACCCCTAAAGGGGTCGCGACCCACAGGTTGAGAACCGCTGGCCTAGACAATCCACTGTCCTTCCCAAGAAGTAGAGGTTTTTTCTTCTACTTTTTCTGTGTCCTAGGGGTGACAGGCTTTGCTGCTTTTTCCTAGAGGTTTAAGGCTTTGCTTCATAGGAGATTTAGAGACTGTGTAGAAAAAACTATTTACACTAATGGACAATTTCACAGATGCTATTAAGAGGGTTCTAGTCAAGCGGTATCTATTTTGATCATAGTTGCTTAAAGAAACACAGATTTTTTAAAAGCTAGATTGCAGGTAATTTTTTCGTTTTCATATTTCATTTGCGGATTCTATTCCTGTTTTCTGAAAGTTTTTCACTAATTCTTATTGATAATTATGAGGGGTTTTGCCTTTTAAAATATTTCCGAAGCCTTTTTAGCTTTTGGCACTGCCCTTTTTTTTCCCCATTTTTAATTTGTGACTTTTTTGAAAGTCAGCGATATTAAGTGTACTTTTAATTTAAAATTGAAATAATCATGATTGCCACATTCTTCTTAGAAGGAAAAAAACTAATATCTATACTCAATGACACAACTATGTGCTTTAGATTTCAAAATGCAGGATGAACAGCATAAATTAATAATCTGACTCTTGTTAGTTTGATAGACATAATAAATGCCAGACTACCTTCTTTACTTTTAAAAATTTTGTTTTATTTGTAAGAACAAACTCTTCAGCTCTCAGTGAAATGACCAGGCAGGGTAAAAACTTCTTGAGAGGGCAGATAGCAAGGTAGTTACAAGCACGGACTCTGGAGCCAGACCACTTGAGTTCTAATTAATTTCATATCTTAGTTATTACCTAGACTTTGCTTTAATTTCCTCATCTAAATTGAAGATACCAATAGTACCTACCTCAAAAGCTTATTATGAGAATTAATGAAAATGAATATATGGAAAGCACTTAGAACAGTGCCTGGCACAGAAAGTACTGTAATCAATGTTTGTTATTATCATTGTTTGTTATAAGATAGAATCTCATTGTACAAGTCACAAAGAGATGTTGCTAAGCTGAACGAAACCAAAAATGGAAAGGCAAGGGACTGGAAAAAATACTTGTAAGAGATTCTTCAGCCGTAGGCTATTCCAGAGGCTATTGGGAGAGAAGGGCAGAAGGCGCGGACCTAGCCCCACATCCTAGAGTAGGAAGCCATGGTTACATTAGACCAGGTCCCTGTTTCTGATCACACAGGGCAGCTCTGGCTTCGAGGACCCACGTGCACTGAATCCGTGGGCAGAGGCAGAAGGGAGGGAGACGAGGACAAGCCGAGCAGCGGATTGGCAGCAGAGCGAGCAGGCTCCCTTCTCAGTTCCTTCATTCTGATCAGAACACTAATAATCTGGAATCAGACTCACTAACGGACTATTATTCCAGGTTTAGCTGGATGCATTTCAACAAATTATTTAATCCCTTTGACTTTCCCCCTCCGTAAAAAATAGAAATGATAATAAGACTTCTGCGGTTGTTAAAGGAAATAATCCGTGTAAAGTGCTCATTAGCTCAGTGCCTTCACCGTAGGAGGTATTCTGGATGGTGGTCATTTTCACCGTCACCATCGTCATCATCATCATGTGGTATGCAGAGTCCCAAACACCTGTATCCTGACCTGACACAGCCTGTGCTTCTATACTTTTTCTCATTAGGCTTCTAAGGACATAAGTGCACAGAGGCCAAGACCAAGCAGAGGCTCACACTTGATCACAGTGAAGCTTTGCCTTTGTACAGTAGACCCTAGTTCCACAAACTGGCCTGTTTGGATAACTAGGTAACGGAGACCTGACTTGGTCTCTCACTCGCATAGATACCAACACAGCTCTCCTTTGGCAAGGAGAGGCTTTAAAAACACGTCATCTCTTCATAATCACAGCTTTATTTCTCATGTTCATTCTTTTTGCTTCTTTTCCATCCCTGCTATACAAATTAGAACCTTTCCATGATGCTAAATGTTGATCGCCGATATCCCGTCTCATTTCTGTTCTCAGGGGAATGTCTTAGTCAGCTCAGACTGCCAAAAAATACCACAGACTGGGTGGCTTCAGCAACAGAAAATTAGGTTCTCACAGTTCTGAAGGGTAGACGTCCAAGGTCAAGGTGCCAGCATGACAGGTCTCTGGTGAGAGCTCTCCTGGCTTCTAGATGGCCACCTTCGTGCTTCCTCACGTGGAAGGGGCAAAACAAAAGAAGTGTGAAAAGCTTTCCATCTAGTTGTAGAGTGATTAAACAGACTGAGTCCCCAGAATATGTGGACGCCATTATCACTTTTAATAAATTTATGTTTATAAAAATATTTGACTGTGATAAATTAAATTGAAATAAACTCTATATTTCATAGGATAGCAATTAAGAATACAGAGAAAGAGGCAACATGTGAAATAGTTTTTTCTGTTGGCCTGCCTAAGTTCGTATCACATTTTCTGCATTTGCTGGCTCGGTGATCCTGGCAAGTTAGCTAACCTCTGTAAGCCTGTTTCTTCAGCTGTAAAAAGGGCCTAATAACACTACCTGTGTTCTGGGGCTTTGAGAAAACTTAAGTGATCATCTCTGTAAAGTGCTAGGCACATAGAAACTACAGTTTATTGGGAACCATCATCATTATTTTTGTTGTTAAATTGAAAGACTTGAAAGTAATACAAGTTAAGGAAGAAAAGTTCCTCCTGGATACAAACTGCTTCAAGTTAAAGAAAACACAAGTAAAATGGCCTTACCAAGATATTTCTTACAGTATAAGATATGTCTGACCAAATTATTTTAGTTAAAATGTCTCGATTACATGTGAAAGTAGCCTCAGAATACATCTAAAATTAAAATATTTAAATATTGTATCAGTAGAATTAATTTGAGAAATAGAGCCTTGTCACATTGGAATAAGTTGTACATTAATTTTTACAACTATTTCTATTATTTAGTTTTAGTAAACATTTATTACTTTTCATAAACAGCTATATTGTAATATACTATACTCAGCTTTTTTGTATGTCAACTATATCTTTTGGAAAAAGCTTCATAACCAATTAGTTCATTTTTAAATAGCAGTTGTGATGTATATCTAAGTCTAAAAGCTAATTCTATGGCAGAAGTATACATTTCTTAAACCATGAAAAGATAGGTTTTTTTTTCATGAGAAAGTATTCAGAAGAAACTGTTACTGAAGTATATAATTTAGGTGGTTAGTGCTAGGTATTTGACTGCCAGTTTCTTTGGAAAATATGTCTTAACCCATTTCTTTTATCATATAAAATAAGAGATCAAATGTTTAAAAGCTTTGTGTCCAGAGGTGCAGAGGGACATACTGCTATTAAGAATACTTTGGATTTCTTTGAATTTACAGGTAAATCGATAAGTCTAAACAAGTATATCTTTCATAAGGGAAACAAAATTTTCAAAAACAACTTAAAACATTGCAATTTTTTTTATTTTCTTCTATCAGATGATTTGTAAATATATTGTTCTCTTCCCTTAATTTAAATTTTTCAAACCATTGGCATGTTGTATTACCAGATATGTATATAATATTTACTATTCGTTTTTATAAAGGTTTAGAGGTCCAAAGAGATGACATTCTGTGGATCGCCATGGCAGGGACTCATCAGATATGGGCACTCCTCCTGGACTGTGGCAGCCTACCAAAGAAAAAGTAAGTGGCAGCCTCTCTTTGGGTAAACTGCATGACTTGGAGCTCACAGAATTCTCTTTCCCCAAGTCTCCATCCTTGCCCCACTCACTGTTAGGAGTCATTACCACTTGAAGGTCAGTAATAAATAAAGATAAAGCATCCTGACAATTATGATACAGGTCAGTGTGATCTGGGTGGACATTTTCCTATTAAGAATGAGAGTGACTAGTTGACATATTTGGAAATTTAGTCCACTCCTAACATTTTAGAAGTTACTGTTTCTCCCTATCTTTTATTCAATTAAGGGAACTCCTTTTTAACTTAAGACTCTTTGTAGTAATTACCTTTTAATTGATTTGTTTGACATGTTAGTTATTACATATATTTCTCTGACTAGATTATTTTTAAGTTCCTTGAATAAGTGGCCATATTTTATACATTCTGTATCGTTTTGCCTCCATCCCCTACTCCCTACTAATTTAGCATTGGGAACATATCCACCATTAGTGATGGATGGTCATTTTAGACTTTTACATGTTGTGCCATATTTGGATCTGCTGTGCGTCCAGTCTCATTATTTTGCTTTCTACAATAAGTCAGCTTCTTCCCTTCCCTCAACACAAGACACCACCATGCCTTCCTTACAATCCATCCGGCATACACTTAGAAACTAAGGTATAACACTTACTTTGCATCACAAAAGGAATCATTTCAATACTCCTTTAAATAGAACTTTCCCTAGTGTATATAAGAAATTGATTTGTACAATTTATTAGTTAAAGCAGCATAATCATCCTATATCAGTTGCATAAAATGGGTAATGCTTGACCTGGCTATCTTTCAAAAGAATTTTTTTTAAATTCCTTTTGCTAGTCTCTACTATGTACAAGAAAACAAAACATTTCCAATGAAAATTTAAGCTTTAAACTATCAAGAGCTAGATAATCTTTTTAATTCCTTTCAGAACCTAATATGCATGAGCTCAGAAGAGGTCAAAAAGTTAAGGTGGGATTCAGCTTGTACTATCTCTATTTGGAGAAAAAAAAAATTTGTCCCATCAATGATATGGTCATTTTTCTTATATTTCTAACCTTGTCAGTGATTTCCTATCTGGCCATTGAGAATAGTTTCAGTTTTGTATGTTAAAAAAAGAAGGAAGGTCCCTACATAGTGAATAAATAAGTTAATGATTAGAACAAGTACAGTGAAAGCTGACTTGCACAATTTAGCTAGGCCAAGATCACTGTTTTGTTTTTTCTTACAATGCTTATCACCACTGATTTCATCATTTACACTGATTTGTTTAATATGTAAATCGCACACAATCTAACAATGTCGACTTCACCTGTGAACTTGTCTTCTTCAGTGAGTTAAAGAAAGGAACCTGCCTTCGGTTTGCTGGTAGTGGGAATGAAGAGAATCGGAATAATGCGTATCCTCACAAGGCAGGTTTTGCCCAACCTTCAGGCCTCTCTGTGGCCTCAGAAGAGCCATGGAACTGCCTGTTTGTAGCTGATAGTGAGAGCAGTACCGTGCGAACTGTCTCACTAAAAGATGGAGCCGTGAAGCACCTCGTAGGAGGAGAAAGAGACCCCACGGTAATGAAAGCCACTGTCGCCCCGTGTGCCCAGACACTTAAAAAAAGTGGAAGTCAAAGGGCCGGCTGAGTGGCTCAGTTGGTTAAGAGCTCACTCAAGAGTTTGAGCTCTGAGCAACAGCGGTTCAAGTCCAGCCCAAGCTGAGCAGCCGCTGAGCTGCCAACAGGTAGCAGGATGGCTCAGCTAAAAACAAAACAAAACAAAAAGTGGAAGTCAGACCAAAGGAAATAGGAACATAAAGAAACAAGTAACAAAACCATCTAAGAAAAGTAAACTGACTCTGCTTGATTATATATAAATGTCAAGGCTTCAGGGAAAAAGGAAGGATCCAGTATTGATTATGGAGAAAAGTCTGAATCAAAGGCCCAGCCCTGTTTATACGAAATCAGATCTTTTCCCCTTAAGTATATAAGTAGCATGTACAGCCATCTTCATTTTCACTTGATACCCTGACAAAGCACTGTAAAAATGTTAATACATGGTTTTGTTTTGTTTTTTCTTAAAAAAAAAAAAAAGAATTTATTTGCTTTTGGTGATGTTGATGGAGTAGGAATCAACGCAAAGCTTCAGCACCCCCTTGGAGTGACATGGGACAAGAAAAGGAATTTACTTTACGTAGCAGACTCCTACAATCACAAGGTAAGTCTTGACAGAATTACATAATACCCTGCTTTTCATTTGTGGTATTTAAAATGCTGCAAGATCTGTGAGCCTCCTACAACTGCCTCTCTAAGATGTAGAGAGGAATCACAGTCTTTGACAACTATATACAAGTAGGTCTTTTTTGTTCTTTTTTTGGTCCTTTGCAAAGAGGATATGATGATACTCTGAGCTGGGGAAAGGACTGATAAACAAATTCCCAATGGCAATAGCCAGAATTGTGATGTGCAACCCATCAAATCTGCTTAGTAACAAATTCAGTAAAGAAGGAGAAGGCAAGTAGCAGAGAAATTAATGTCAACTAACAAATGAACATGTTGAGCTGTTGAACAGTTGCAATGCCTGCTAGCAAATAATTCCATTTTGAGCAGCATTTCAATTTCTGTCTCTATTGCATTAACTATTTCTATTTTATTTTTCACAAAAATCAGTGGAAAATATTAATATTTTATGATGAGAGACTATACATTTAATACAATTGAGACACATGGAGAATCATAAATAAGTAGCAAATCCTCAGCAATGTTAGATGCTCATGAGAAGAAAGTTCAACTATCTCATTGTGAGAAAAACATTAAAAAAAATGTTAATAATTTCATCAAAGATTGCTTCTGGAGGACAAAATGTAACTGGGGATTTTACGTAGTTTTTAGCTGTCAGAATGGAGTATCTTCCCCTTAGACTTCAATTTGAATATTCGGCTTTTTCAAGAAAGTATGGAAATGCCTGTTCTTTTTTTGAGATTTTTTTAAGAATACTAATGACAAGCAGAAATTCTCTGGCTTGCTGTATACTGTACTTTTCCATACTACTAACATGAGATTGGGCTTCAGATACACAAATTGTTTTTTCCTCTCTTTTTAGATTAAAGTTGTGGATCCAAAAACAAAAAGCTGTACAACATTAGCAGGAACTGGAGATGCAAGCAATATCAGTTCCAGTTTTACTGAGTCAACTTTTAATGAACCAGGAGGCTTGTGTATTGGAGAGAGTGGTCAGTTATTATATGTAGCAGACACCAATAATCATCAAATTAAAGTGATGGATTTAGAAACAAAAACGGTTTCTGTGGTAAGTAATCTCAAAGTATTAAGTTAAGGGAGATTTTAAGAATGATACTGAGATCCTCACGGCACCGACAGAGGCACTTGTGATTAGTCCATCTCTAGTGACGACAGTGAAATATGCAGGTAGAGTCGTAAGGGAATGTCTGCTTCAAGGATATCCTATTATTTTTAAAGTAAAAATTCCATTTGTGCTGAGACTGTTTGAGAAAGATACTGGAAGATGGAAAGAATTTGATGGAAAGAACTTGGAGATAAGGAAAAAAGGATTCCGATCTGTTTTTAAATGTGAAGCCATACTGACACATCTACCCACACATAAAACGTGGCTGGGTTGTTTAGTCTGGTTATCTTATTTTTAATGATTCTTAGATTAACATATAATCTTGGTTTTCTATGGTAAATCTGTTACCAAACAATCTTCCAAAGGAAGTTCTAGAAGCCACATTTCTCAAGACATTGAAAATAAGGTTGGAAGGAAAATAAGTTCTAATCAATTTTTAAAGATAGGGACATGGTCTCTAATAAAATTTTTAAGTTCTCCTTTGATGTATCACATTTGCCTGAAAAAAAATGCAAGTTATTTTTTCTAAAATTCCAGGAATTTCCAAGATATGTTTTAAAATAAGAACAGATTATCATCATAAGTGTCATTCTTTTGACATAGATGTTTCATGTAAGATGAATGACGTCTTATAGTTGGCAGTGAAAATTATAAGATGTATATTATATCCACTACATTTAAATTGATAAAGTTTTAATTTCCTACCATCTATAAACATATTGGACAATTAATTGAATTCTGTTTTACTCATAAGTGTTGGTAATCTTTTGTCCCGGATGAAATATTTTTCTGAACCTACAAAATAATCATGAGGACATCTAAATAAATACATTTTAATTTAGACTAGAATGGCAATGAAGTTTCATTGACATAGAAACCTCAGAAAAATGAGGCTTGATGATATAAAATCTCATTTTAGGCTGAAGTCTAAAAACTCAGTCTACAGTTACTGTAAAGCACTTGTGTTTTAGTAAACAGATTTTCTCATTTCCTAGCTGCCAGTCTTGAGTTCTGAAAATGCTGTGGTGGATGGCCCACTCCTAGAAGAAGAACGGAAGACGGTACCCAAACTCCCTAAATCTGCTCCAGCCATTAGCCTTCCCCCAGTGGTCGCGTCTCCAGGACAGACTCTTGAGTTCAAGCTAAGACTAGACCTCCCATCAGGAACAAAGCTAACTGAAGGAGTAGCCAGTTGCTGGTTTCTAACAGCTGAAGGTATGAGAATAATCTTGGAAATGCAAATATTCCATAACTTCTTGATGTTTCATCTAGTAATCTTTCTCATTTGTTATATGACTTTTACTCTGTAGTTGGGCAGGATTTGAGGGAGGTCTTGTGACAAAATAGATCCAGATCTAACCCCATGTTAGCAGTTTTCTTTAGTCTTTGAGGTTCTTTCCTCTTAGTAAAGAACAGTGTAACTCACCCAAAATTACTCAATCATAATTGCCCCCATTTGCTACTAGACAAGTCCATCAGTTGAGGCAGACTTCTGTCCTTGAATATTAGAGCTGTGAAAGGTGCCAAAAAACACCATCTATTCTAACCCTCCTATAAATGAGTATACTAATGGCTCAAAGAGATAAAGTGATTATAATAAATGTTTATTATGATACATGCTCAAGAGCATATGTTGAATTAGGTAAAAAAATGGAATTTGAACCCAGTTTGGCTTGTTCTTATTTAGTGTCTTGTCCATTGTGCTATTCTATCTCAAACTAGCCCTAGCCCTAAAAATGAAACTTTTTAAAAAGACATAAAATTCAATGCCACCAGTTATACATTTGGATGTTATAAAAGTTTATAAACCTTGCTCTCAATTTCTGTACTTAATTCATCATGGTTTGTGGGTGAGCCCCAGTCCACAGACTACACTTGGAGTGGCACTGTTCTAGAACACTCCAACATAAAGAGATCAGGGAGAGAAGGGGCAGCCAGGGAAGAAGACTGAACAGCGAAGAAGTGGGAGCAGAACCCGGAGTGTGGTTTCCTGGAGCCGGCTGGTTTAAGGCGAGTGACCAGCTGTGTCAAGTGCTATTGATAAGGACTAAGAATTGATCATTGATTTCATGTTGAGTTAATTTATGTCCTCAACCAGAGCCGTTTCAAAGCGATAGATGAGGAGATGCCTGATTAGAAGAGATTCAAAAAAGAGTAGGAGAGGAACTGGAGGAAGCAAATACAGATAACTCCTTCGGGATAAGAGAAAAATGGAGTTGAGAGAACAGCACGTTATATTGATGGCAAAGATCCAATAGAGAAAAGAATTGATGATATGGATGGGTATCCTTTACGGCATGAGAGGGGACGGGATCACAAGCACAAGTAGAAGGCTGGCCTTTGCCGGGAACGCGGACATTTGCACAAGAAGGAGAGAAGGCCCAGCAGGTGACCCAGAGGTCTAGATGGGTTAGCTGGGGAGGTAGGTACTTGTGGAAGCCTTTTTCTAAATGCATCTGTTTTCTTAGTACTTTGGGAAGTAAGGCCACCAACTGAGAGGGAAAGAGAGAGAGGGGAGAAGCTTTTGGAGGTTTGAAAAGAGGGTCATCCAGGAGGGTGGGAGGGTGACTACCCCATAGAAATTAATACAGTGTGATTGTTGAACAGCTCGAGCTCGCCATCATGAATGGCAAGCCAGGCTCATCCACCTGGAGGCTGTTTTTCTCCAGCCAAGTTGAGCTGCAGGGTGCAGGCAGTGTAGGTAGAGTATTTACTGAATAATGTTAAGCAGCAGGCGTGCTACAATGGCAGGTGATTAACATAGGTATCTGGAACCCTGATCCAGTATTAATTGTGTTTACCACACTACCTTTCAGTAATACAGCGATAGACATCTCAAAGATTCTATTCTAAAGAATTAAATGGATTTTCCCCTGGAGTATGACATTTTTTAGAAACATATGCTTTCTTTTAACTGAAGTAACTTGGCATAAGCTCTTTCCAATTCAGTTCAATTGTTTTATTATTATTCTTTACTTTTCCAGATAGCATCTATCAAATGCTTGAGAGCTTTCAGTTGCTATTTCAATGTGGTAATATCATTAGGACTTACCAGTTCTTAAGCCCGAAGCTGCATTTTCTTCTTTAGAGATGCCAGAGGTAGAATTCGAGCTCCATTACTTGCTCAGTACAAGAACATGGATTCCAAAGCCATATCTTAAAAGCACGTCATTCAAGTAGAAAAATAAAACATCGTTGGAGGATATGTAATTAACTGCAAACGAATCAATATGATCAGAGTCCAGCCAGAGCCTTGTCCTCACTAATTTGTGATCACTTAATCTAAGAACACTTCCTGTTTGAGTCTATTCTAAAGTGTTCAGTTACTGCAAATTAGGTAAAGATCTGAATGTGTGTTTGAGTCACACTGTGGACCTATTCATTTATAATAAGGAATCAGTATACTGCCTGCCTCATAGCAGTGCTTTCCTACACCTTTAACAGAATGGACAACAATTTTAAAGTCAAGTATTCGTAGTCCAGAAGTCAATTCTGACTTCTTATCTCTCGTGATCTTCCTCTGTCCTAGTCTCCCACGCTCTTTCACATGTTCTCATGCAATCTTCCATTTCCTCCCCGACTCCTCCTCCTTCGTGCCCTCTCACACTCTTTTCCTTTGTATGTTCCCCAGATCCAGGCTTTACGCCTTCTCACCTTGGCGCATTCTCAGGGCGGCTTCCACACCAAAAGCCAGGAGGAACTGCTGGGTTAGAGTTTGGAGGCTGGCTCTGGGGTGACTGAGCCTGAGGGGAAACACCCCCTCCTACTCCCCACAAGGGAGAGGGCTGCACCGTGCAGTACAGGAGGATGTTTGGAGCTAGCTTTGTGGAGGGAACAGCACTCAAACCCTGACATTGCTCAGTCCTCTGCAGGTTCAGAGGAAGTTCTCGGCGACTGCCAGTTCACCTGTTCTGCCTATGTCCATTAGTCTGAGGCATTGCATCAGTTGGAGATCACTATTCATTTAACTTCTCTGTATGAAATTAAAGAACAGTGTATTGACTTTTAAAATAGGATATTGACACATTAATGTGTTTATAACTCCACTTTGTCAAACACACAAATTAATTGATATCGAGTCATTGGAATATAAATATGGATAGTATTAAAGGAAAGGCAAGTAGTATATAGAGCAGATTCTTAGCTGTTTTACCACTTGTCCAAGATATTGGCTGCATTTTTATTGCATAGGGACAAATAAGGTTTTAGGCGAGAATCCTAATTCAAGTTTTTGAAAAGTATTTTATAGGGTACATTTATCCAATTATGGTTAAAGGACTTTTTCTTCTTGACCAGTTTTGTAGAGACAGAAACACTTTAGCTAAATTTTGGTCTGTATAATCTTAAGAGGTTTTCAACATATGTGAAGGTTTTAAGCCAAAAAAAAAAAAAAGCAGCATAAAAGCACCACTAGCATATTATAACTTCACAAATCCCACGTGTGATATATCTGAAAAATATCTAAAGAAACATTTTCTGTATTTTATGTCTAGAATTGGACATTAAAATAGCCCAATTTACTTGCCTGTTTGATATAAAAGTTCCCCTTCAATCTGCTATCTAGCAAAATCAAACACTGAGTTAAAATAAAACACACTCCTCAGTCCAGAAATAAGCAAAGGCCAAAGAATTTTAAAGAGAACTTTAAAAGAATTGTTTAAAAGCTCTTCCAGAAAAGCTCTGGACTTAACTCTTTAGATTCTTACCTTTGACCTTCTCCTGACTCTTAACCTGACATATTTTTCTCAAATTGGGTTTTTCAATCAACAGAATATTAGAAGCAATAAACTAAAAAAGCGATGGAGAGGACCAGTAGAGGCAGGTGCTGTGGGTGTTGACCCATCCTGAGGTCAAGCGACACAAGCTAAAAAGTCAGCATAGAATTTCATCACTCCTCAGTATACGGTTCAGTTTTTATGCAAATGGCCCCATGTCACTGATAAGTCCTTAGTTCTCAGTGTATTCTGTTTAAGATGGCAGCAGAGCATGTCCTGCGTTTCAAAACACGGCCTCTTGCTATCTAACCCCCGGTAAAGCTAAATGCCTTTAAGTATGTGCTGCCTCCATATGACACGTGTGCTCCTTCTGCCAGAAGGCACTGCACAAATAAAGACATTTTAAATTTTTTACAACTAGAAGATTAAAGATTTTTAGTGGTTTAGTAGACTTTTGTTATATAAATGATCTATGTATTTAAGTCTTGGAAGAGTTTTATGTACTAAAAAGAGGTTGACAAAATCTCTGAGCCCATTAGAATAATATACTCAGTGTTACTTGTTTCTAAAGAAATCAGTGTTATTTTTTGATTACCTTTTCATAGTCAATAATTCATCATCACTTTAACTTGCAAGTCACTGCAGAGTTGTACATACATTCGCTCTCCCTAGATTGTTTTGTAGTTTCGTATTCTATCCCTGAATGCTTTTTCTTACACAGTCTTAATAATTCACCTTTTTATTTTTCAGGCAATGAATGGCTTCTTCAAGGACAGGCACCTTCTGGAGAAATAGAGAGCATTTCCAATCAGCCGACCATCTCACTGCAGGTTCCTAGAGATTGCTCATCCCCCGAAGCTGTTGTATCTGTCAGCGTGTTTCTCTATTACTGTAGCGCAGACAGCAGTGCCTGCATGATGAAGGGAATTTTGTTCAGCCAGCCTTTACAGATAACCAGTGCACAGCCAGGTTGCTCAGCTCCAGTGGAGCTCAAGTATGTGTTTTAGCAGGCAAGCTAGCTAGCACACTGGTCTCTACAGCCGCCTATTTCCATCCTCACCATCACTGCAACTTATGGAAAGAAACTTAACTTCTGCCTCTGCGTTACCAAGAAACCCACTGCTCAGTTCTAGCAACTGATATTAAAGTAAAGCTCTGCTCCTTATTTAATTATTTATTATTAACAGATGCCTTCATTCTGGCTGCATACCAGCCAAGTCACTGACCATTATTTGCACCACGATTGTAATCTATGCTGCCATTTGGCAGAAGACTTAAGTCCACACTATTATAGTATAGAATATTATCATGAGATAATTTGCAATGATCACTGATAACGATACCAAATATTTTAACTAACTTTTCCTACCTTTATTAATAAGCAGCACATTTGAATGTGTAAATTTCACAATAACCGTAAAGAAAGTCCCCGCCCCCCCCCAAAAAAAAAAAAAGTTTTCATCACAGTAGAAACGTAAACTACCTGGGTGGTAAATATGTTCTTTGTTCTCTTCTGCAATTTTCTCAGTCAAGATATATTTAAAAGAGAATTATCTATTTTTATTATAAATTATTTGCTATTTTAATATACCGTTACTAATGCCTTATAACTCTGTACAGGAAAAGGTAAAGACAGCCTCTAAGGACATACAGACTCACTCCTTCAACTGTTTTCTGAGTGAACAGTCTTAGTAAATAATAAACGCGTCCTCAGAAATACAACTTTCAAGGAGAAAGGGACATAAGGACACATTACTGTCTGCGATACTATAATATTTAATGATAATTGTGACAGCTGAATCTGATGTGAATGGGTATGTATGTTGTCTTAGAAATTTGCATTTCACTTGTAAGCATTAAATGCAGATTTGTTGGGGTTTTTTGGGTTCACATATTCATAATTTAAATTATGATCATTTATGGTGATGTTTTTAAAATCACTTTTAAGCCTTCAAAGTGAAAATTTCAATATGACGCACTTTCATGCTATTAATATATATAGTATATGCTAATATATTCCTCTTTAAAATATTAAGGCTGAACATATAGTTATTTAATGACACTGTTTTGGGTTTTCTTTTTAACCCCAAAAGATATAGTCACTAGAAGATATTGGAAGTTTTTTTATAATCATAATTTCTCTTCCTAACTCTTGAAAAGCCTATTCTGGTTTTTACTAAAACGGATTCAACTGTTTGTGATTTACTAAGCTTACAAGATTTTTTTTTTTTTAAATCAGGTGAGCCATATTTATTCAATAAATATTTATAGAGAACATAGCATAATATACCTTTTCCCCGTCAAAAACAATGCTAAATTTGAAGTGCAATCTTTTAAGCACCATCATCTGCCCAGTTCTTTATATATTTTTTGAAATACAGTTTTGAACATACTATTCGCTTCTTTCATACAGGTTACCTAAATTTCTGAAGTAGGAAAATGCATACATACATCAAGACTTAATTTGTAACCTGCTAAAGCTATTTTAAAGAGAAATATAAGTGTGAAGTTAAAGGAATCTTGTTTAAAATTATATGTAATTACCTCATAAACCTTTTCTCTCCACACACAAAAAATGTTATTCTGTAATAAAAGAATGTATAATGTTAATATTCTCTTTTATGAAGGATAGGCTATAGTAATTTTTTAATAATCGTTATCATACTTCTCATTTCCAGTTGGATAGGATAAGAATGTTTTGGCTTAATCTTTTCCTATTTAAGGATATAAACAGTTTCACTCTCTAAAAGAAGTTTATGCAATTTTAACTTGCTAATTCAGGTGTACCTGATAATTTTTCAATATTGTACACAAACACACATACAGTATGCATTTTTATGTACATTACACATTTAAAAATGTTTTTTAGACGCTATTGTTCCCTTTGTCTAGACAGTTTTAGGTTAGTATCAAGCTTATACTTTACTTTCATAGTACTGTTTTAATGAACATTCTTATTCTTACTCAGCCACCAGTCTGTATTTTTTACATTCAGAATAATATATGATTAGTATGACTTTTTTGTAAATTATACTAAAGCAATATAAATAGGTTCCTAGAATTTATGACTAACATAAGCCTCTTACATAAGAGGAAGTACTAGGAAGTATATTTTTAAAAATTTCTTTATCCTCATCTGCCTTGTTTTCTATAAGAACGTCTGTATTTTTTAACTTTTAAAAAGAGTAAGGCTTTAGTGTAAGTCACCTTCATCTAAGTGCCTATGGCATTACACACACTTTGATATAATACCTGGAATCTTTGTCCTAAATTATTCTGCTGGTTTCTATTTTCTTCCACCACTCTTTGTGATATCATTTTACAAATAGTAGAATTTCCTTTCTGTATTTATACTCAAGATTGATATGATCCCTGAAAAGAATTTTGCTTATCTTGAATATGCTGTCTCAAGCAAATATTTAACAACTATTCACAAGGAAAAATCTTTACAGTTTAATCACCCGTAAGTGTAACTTTGGCAAAGTTCAGTGACTAAAAAACAATTTTCTCCTTAACTGTTCTAAAAATATATTTAGTTATAGTATTATCAGACCTGTAGAAAGCTATAAATCTTAACACAGCTAAAAAAAAAGGTTTCATGTGTATGAATGAGTATATAGGTACATGTATATATGTATGTGATTATATACATACACAGAAGGATCAACTCAAGAATTTCTCACATAAGTTTCTCTGAGGGCCAATGTATTTTTGAGCTAATACCACTGAGATAAGTTAATCTCGGCTTGTTTTCCATAGTTGGAAAATTGGGAAAGGTAGTGCACAAAATTTACTATAGTTTATATCTGCCAATTAAACAGACTTCAACCTGTCCACTGTATATAGCATCATGTTTAAGAACAATCATCAAACGAAATTCTATCATTCACAATTGCATAAAAATACAGGCAGAGGGACTGTCAACAATAATTCTCCCAAATGGTGGAATTATGAATATTTTAATTTTAATTCTACTTTTCTGTATTTTGTTTTCAGTGAGCAATGAGTTATTTTTTTTTAAAATCCAACTGGAAATGTGTTTTAAAGATTTTAAATGAACTACATAGTAAGCACTTACATAATAACTTTTCTGAGGTCACTTTTATTACCAAAGATCAAAACAGTTTAGAGCTCTTGGATCTACGGGCTCTAAGTGTGTGATGTGGTGGAGACAGAAATGGTGGTTCTTCCAGTGTCTTCATTGTGCAGGGTAGT